ACACACACACACACACACACACACACACACACACACACACACACACACACACACACACACACACACACACACATATAAAATACTTAATTACACACATTTGAGTAGATGTAATAAATTACTTTAATTCCTGTTTAAATGCAATTCATCCTGCCATATCTGCAGTATCTTCAGACTTTGCCAGCAAATTAAAAGTTGAAGCTTAATCATTTAATCAGATAACAAACAAACAAGCAGCAGCTTCATCTACCAGAGAGACTGACGTTACATTTTCTCACTTGGAAACAGAACAATGTGTTATATTGTAGAGACTCACCTGCAACATGAGTTGGGAGTAAGACATGTTGTATCAGCTGCAGCTCCTTCCTCCTCCTCGTGACTCCGACATGTTTACGTTTCAACTCCGTGGTTCTCCCGTGTCGTGTCGGCAATTTTCAAAGCGGCATGCAATTTTCAAGTGGCAGTTTTAACAAATATGTAAAAAAAACATGTGTAACTTTTATTAAAATTTTTTTTAATAAAAGTTACATTTTGCAACTTTAAGTTTGCTTTTGAATGAATGTATCAGCCTTTATACATTTTCAAAGCTACGTAACAGAAACCAGACACTCAGTGGTTTTTGCACAATATTTTCATGTCATGTGACCCACTGACACAAAACTTATGTTAAACTTCTCTACTAGACCTGACAGATGAGGCACCCTCTTTTATTTCTCATTGTAAAGCATTTTCTAATTTTACATAATTTATTTGTTCATAAATCATGGTTTTCGCTCAATAACTAATTAGAAAATGCTTTAAAATGAGAAATAAATGACGGTGTCTTGTGTGTCAGGTGTCAGTGGGTCAAACTATGTAAAATATATACATTTTTGGTTCTGAAGAGTGTTTGTTAATTTGTTGACGGTCCCTAAGTGAACCATTACGTCTCAGAGGAGGAGCAGACTGAGCACAGCTGACTGACATCAGACTGTCTGCTTCAGATCGAACGAAAGGAACACACTGCTGAAGCCACAGAGCTTGAATGTCCAACGTCCAACATGAAACTAACTTCACTGCGGTAGAGAAACGAGGCTCCAGCAGAGCACGAAGAGTTCAGAAACTATTTGAAATGAGAAAAAAAAAAATTATTAACGGATTAAGTCGTGGTTTAGACTGATTATTGCTGGAGAATATATTCTAACCCAAAGTGCAGACGTGACTGGTTCTGAATGAGGCTTTATGGCAGACAGCTGCTCCCCTCTCTTCCAGGTACTGTGTACTAGTGCAGAATCTTTTAGTGGTACACAGTACTGGAGCGTACTGGCTTACTTTCACCTCTGGTTGTGACGTTACGTTCTGTTGTCTGTGTTGTTCTGTTGGTACAGAACCACATGTGAGTGAAAGGGGGTGGGAGTGACAGCTGTAACAAAAACATGTATTTATCAATGAGTCACGTTATCACTTGGATTTGAATCAGTACGTTTTGTATCCAATAAAAACAAAGATGTTAAATAAACTGGACAATATTCTGGCAGTTTAGTGGTATTTCCACAGTTGTGGTCTTGACTGGTCTTGAAATAAAATCCTAAGTCCTCAGTGTCCGAGACCGAGACAAGACCAAGACTATGAAAAAGTGGTCTTGAGACCAGTCTCAAGACCAAGACTGGTCTCGAGTACAACAACACTACTTTTTTGGTGTACTTACAAGTGCATTTAACAAATTAACTAATCATTTTTTTTTTTGATTTTGATTTAACTTATGGGCAGCACGGTGGCGCAACTGGTAGAGCTGCTGCCTCTCAGCGAGAAGATTGCCGGTTCAAATCCCGGTCCGGGGGCATTTCTGGGTGGAGTTTGCATGTTCTCTCCGTGCATGCATGGGTTTTCTCCAGGTACTCTGGATTCCTACCACAGACCAAAAACATGCATGTTAGACTGATTGGTAACTCTAAATTGTCCCTAGGTGTGAGTGAGAGAGTGAATGGTTGTTTGTCTCTATGTGTCCCTGTGATGGACTGGAGACCTGTCCAGGGTGTACCCCACCCCTCACAGTTATTGGGCAACCCCCGTGACCCAAAATGGAAGAAGCGGGGAAAAGACAATGGATGAATGGATGGATTTAACTTTTTTTCCCCTAAATGAGCTTAGTAAAATATTTCCAGCCCTATGACACTGCACTTGACAGTCCAAAACAATCCACAGCTAGAAACTGCTTGGGAAAGTAGCATTTTGCATGATAAAAACATTTTTAACAGGTTTAGCACAGTGATAGTTGTTATAATTGTTGTATAAAGTATTCTCTTACCTGTGGTGGACAATGTAAGTCACAATGGAGACGAGAAGACAAAGAAGCATGACTGCGGTGCAGGCGTACACCACTGGATGGAGGTAATCCCCGGGGTATGGGGGAAAGGACAACACTTTCTTCAAATCCTGAAACATTAGGATAATTTACAGTGACATTTTTATCATTTAGAAAAATGTTTATTTTTCCAACGCTAGAATAGAATGAGAATGCTGGAATAAAACCAACATAAACAAGACTTTTAAAAAAGTGAAGTAAATTATTTGAGCCACCCAGGTAAAATGCTAATGGGAGAACTATAAAAAACATATTCTTCACTGTAGTTCCAAGTTTTCTTTAAATATCTACATTGTTTGAAATAATATATTTCATAATGATTTGTATTTGCCTCATAGGGAAATATGCTACATACAATACATACAGTACTGGGTATGGATGTGAAGTTTGCCCCTTTTCCATTATAACAGTAAAACGTGGTTTGACACGACCCGGCATGGTTCCAAGGCTTTTCCACTAGTAACAGGTCGTAGAACCAGTCCCTTTTTTCAGTACCAATTTCTCTGTGGTTCCAAGCAGGCCGAACGGCACCAAAATGTGATGACAGAACACTGTCGGTCACTGATTGGTCAGGGGGCGGAGTCACTGGCAGTTTGAGAAACTTTTCACATCAACAAGATCTGCCATTAGCAATAACTCGAACTCGAGGAGTGGCTGGATCCATTTTAAAGATTTTAAAAACAATAATGACAACACCGTGGTTTAATGCTGAAGTGCAGGCGTTTTTTGTGCTTGGTGGCCCAAGACAAAATTCAGAGCGAGCTAGATGGAGCTCCGCCAGTCCCCGACTCTCCGAGTCCTCTCCACCGGAACCTCGGAGCCCCCTCAGGCCATGCAGGGCGTCATCTCCCTGGCTCCGAGCTCTGCCGGTCACCGCGGAAGATCCTCCATGCTGCCAACCCAGGGCTCGGGCTCCGGGGCCCAGTATTGCATACTCTGCGGGCTCCAAGCTCCGCTGCTCACTGCAGAGGATCATACGAGCTGCTGACTCGCAGAAGGCCAGGGTCTGGGCCCCAGCCTCGCGTGATCATGAAGGCTGGACCCTAACCACTAGAACCAGTACTGAAAGTATAATGGAAACACAACGTGTACCGTACCGAGTCGAGTCAAAACTGTGCTGTACCGGTACTAAAGGTACTAATGGAAAAAGGGGCAGTTGTGAATGCAGCACTATGAAATACCTCTACTGGCGCTGTCACAGAGACCAATGAGCTAGTATACACTACAGCAACAGTGATCCATGAAAGGCTTGGCTATAAAATCAAAGCTACAACTAATGAGAAGCATTGTGCCCACCGAGGAGAAGACTCAAAGATAAGATCAAGGTAACACAGAGTGAAACCAGCCAACTGTCAGAACAACAGAAAGATAAAATGAAAAATGATTCACCACACAAATGCCTAAACTTGAAAGCCTGTTGCCAATGCCGCAAAACACACTACTTGCCTAAAGTAGGACATAAGTAAATCGCGTCTTCGTGATGCATCCCATTACTTCTGCACTGTCTGCATATTTTACAATATGACAATCTGGATGGGTAGGTTCACAATGCCTCCATGCCTCCAAGTGTAAAAAGAAACGGTAAATAGGGATCTAAGATATAAACTAAGAAATATGCTAAACAATAATAGTGCTAAACAATACGCCAAACAACAGTAGCACGATCATGAGTCTGTGTGAGTAGATGAGTATGAATTAATATAGCAGCATGAGATCAGCAGCATGGATAATCAGCAGCACATATCACCAATCAAAGTTGCATTACAGTGATTTTTTTTACAGTTATACAGTGATTATCCTAGTTAGGGATTTATGAGTCTAACAGCTTCAGGGTAGAAGCTGTTCCTCAGTCTAGTGGTTCTACATTTAATGCTCCTCAGCCTTCTGCCCGAGGGGAGCGGGGCAAAAAGTGCGTGCTGGGTGAGTGGAGTCCTTCAATTCAATTCAATTCAGTTTATATAATGCCAAATCACAACAAAGTTGTCTCAGGGCACTTTACAGAAACATTCACATACATAAAAGCCAATTAGTAAAGTTCTCTAAGGGTCCTTCATGATGCAGGTAGCCCTCTTCCTGCATCTACAAGTGTAAATGTCTGTGATGGTGGGGAGACCGACTCCAACATCTTCTGTGCAGCCTTCACCACTCTCTGCAAAGCTTTTCTTTCTGCAACTGTGCAGCCTCCATGCCACATGTTGATGCTGGATCACATGATGCTCTCCACTGCACACCTGTAGAAGAAGATGAGAACTGAGCTTCCCAGTCCAGTCCGCCTCAGCCACCTGAGGAAGTAGAGTCTCTGATGAGCTTTCTTGATCACGCTGGTAGTATTGTTGCCCCAGCTGAGGTTGTAGTTCAGGTGCACACCCAAGTACTTGTAACTAGAAACCTCTTCCACCACAGATCCTCCTGTTTTCGTGTGTGTGTGTGTGTGTGTGTGTGTGTGTGTGTGTGTGGGGGGGGGGGTGTTTGTTCCATCTGAAATTCTCGACCATCTCCTACATCTTCTTCACAGTGATGTGAAGGTTGTTCTACCTGCGCCAGCTCTCCAGGTAGCTTGACTCATCGTTGTTCGTGATGCATCCCATTACTTCTGTATTGTCTGCATATTTTACAATATGACAATCTGGATGGGTAGGTTCACAATCATGTGAGTAAAGTGAACAGGAGGGGCCTCAACACACAGCCCTGAGGAGAGCCAGTGCTGAGGGTTATGGTGGAGGAGAAGTTGTGGATTCTCACAGACTGTGATTTGTTTAAGTCCAGGACCCATTTGCATAGGGAGGGGGTTAGTCCTAGTGTGAGTAGTTTGCCCATCAAGGTCTGGGGAATCATGCTGTTGAAGGCAGATGTGAAGTCCGCAAAGAGCATACGGATGTAGGAAAGAGCATCAAGAAGTGGGGCCAGAGGGTGTGTTCCATTTCAAAGGACATAACCCTTCTTAGCCTCCCTGTTAAGGTCTATTCAGGGGTGTTGGAGAAGAGTCAGATTGATGGTCTAACCTCCAATTCAGGAAGAACAATGCAGGTTCCATCCTAGATGTGGAACATTGGACCATCTCTTTACCCTCACTAAGGTCACTGAGGAGGCATGTGCATAGATTGCCCAACCAGTGTCCATGTGTATTTGTGGCCTGGAGAAGACATTTAACCTTGTTCCTTGAGGTACACTGTGAGGGGGGGGGGGGTGCTCCACAAGTCTACGTGCCTTTCAGTCTCTATACAAGCAGTGCAAGAGTTTGGTTTGTATTGCCAGCAGTAAGTCATACCCATTCAGAGTGGTAGTTGGTAGTTAGTCTGAAAGGCTTCCCATTGTCACCAATTCTGTTCATCATTGTTAGGGAATTTTAGGTCAAAGTTTATGAATGTTTTTACTATGGTTGAGAATGTTAATTGCCCACAAACTGTATGAGTTAGGAGAGAGCTGGATGAAGAGCTGATATGAGGCTGCAGACATGCAGCTGTTGCTTCAAGGTCGTCTCCGAGTCTGTGAGCTTGACTGAACTGATAAGGTATAAAAACAAGCTTTGCACACTGCCCGTAGAAGATTCTTGTGACTGGGCTTCATGCATGTACTTCCTGTGAATCTGTGTAACCTTTCCTGAAAATCTGTCCTTGCAATAAAACCAGTTAAATATCTTCTCCTGTTGTCAAGTGTGGTTCCTTTGAGTAAGTGAGATAAAGCGAGAATAGTTTTATTCAGCAATAATGTTTATGGGGGTAGCACGGTGGCACAGTTGGTAGAGATGCTGCCTCTCAGTGAGCACGGTAATTGGTAATTCTAAATTGTCCCTAAAAAGTGTCAAAAGGGTGTCACGATTGGGTTTAGGATTCAGAGTAAGCCAGACACAGGAGTGCAAAAACAAGAACAGTTTTTATTAACTAGTCTGCTGGTTGCTGGGGTCAGGGACCAAGGCAGGAGTCCAAACTTCTCAGTCTGAATGTGGCAGGTGAAATCCAGAGGCGTGGTCCAATGGTCGTAGCAGGGGTCAAGCACGTAGAAGCAGAGAAACAAGAACAGGGCCGAGTCGTGATCCAAAAGAGTAGTCAAAGGGAGAGCAAGAGTCGTTACTGTGGTCAGATATGCATACAAATCCAGAGTGGGGCAAGGCAAGGTGAGGAGTCAAAAAACAGGCGAGGGTTCAAGGCAAGACAAGGCAAAAGACAAAACTATGGAACAGGATACTATGACTGAAGGCTTCACTATCAGGGACAATGGGAGGTTTAATAATTCAGCCCGGTGGAGAGGGAGAATGGAGTTTATAAAGGGTTCAGAGCAGGTGAACTAGATGAGCTGAACAGGTGAGTGTAATCAGGGCTGATGAGCTGAAAGTGCAGAAGGGGGTGTGGCTAATGACAGAAGAAAAACAACATGATGACAAAGAGGAGCAGAAAGGCGAGAAGAGAGAAGGCGGTAAGACACAGCCAGGCTGTGAATGGTTGGAAGGATGTCAGAGGGAACGGAGTTGTCAGGAAGTGATTTTGCAGAAATGGAAGAGGGAGGGGATGGCGTAGAAAAGGACGGGATATGGCAGACTCAAAAATCTAAACATAAAAGGAAAAAAACAAGACACCATATAGAATCGTCTGTTTCTGTAGCTGAAACAGATATGGTGGCGGAGTTTAAAATTATCTTGAAGTTTGATAAAGACGGAATGTCCTTTGGCATGTGGAATCCAATAAAATTTACTAAAGAAATCAACTCACTGATGGGAAAGGTGAAATTTGTGAAAGTGATAAGAGATGGATCCTTATTGATAATTTGTAATGATGTTAAACAAAAAGAGAGAGTACTAAAAATAAAAAGAGTCCTAGGTGAGAATGTGAGTGGGAGGTTGTTAGATGACAAAAAGTATGTACGAGGAGTCATCTCAGGTGTTCCACCTAATGTACTAGTTGAGGAGATTAAGAATAATGTTTCAGGAGGGAAAGTAATTGAAGCCAAACGATTGACAAGATATAAAAATGGAGAAAGGAGTGATAGTTTTTCGATAATGTTACAATTTGAAGAGAAAAGTCTACCAGATAAAGTGTTTTTGGGGTATATTTGTTATAATATCCGACCATTTACTCCATCACCG